GAGCTCTGTGGCTTCCTGCAGGACTTGGTGCCCCAGGTGCTGCGCCAGACAATAAAGCAATAAGCTGCTGCTTAGTATTGACACCTGCCAAGGTGTGTCCAGGTGTGAGTGGTTTATTCTAATGTAATGGCTCTAGCGAGAAGCTAAGTAGGACAAGATTCCCTCCTGCATCAACCTGACCCTGCAATTAGAGTCCATCTTATGGATAGATGCACATTTTAAGTCTTGAAATTTTTAGAGGTGATTAATTTAGCTAGCCAAACTAAGTTAAATGAGCTTTTTCAAGTACATCCCAACAGTCTTTGCATGCCTACTCCTAGACATTACACTGATTCTTTTAAAGGGGATCCAAGTGCTTTGGGTCTTCTCACACCTATTGTGTTCGAAGATAAAATTGATTACTTAAAGGAAAAACATTTTTAGGGGCTCCTAGACACAAGTATAGATGGCCTCAAGGTGTGGCAGGTGCAAGTCCATGGGTGTGATTGGTATTTCCTGACCTAGAGGAGGTGCTGAATTGCTGACCTGGAGGGAGGCAAAAATGCCATCCTCTCAGGAATAGATTCACAAGGAATAAAGACTCATAGAAAACAGAGCGAATTTTAAATGATAAAAGGCTTTTATATTTTCCCCTTAAGGTGATAAATTTAAAAAGCTGTTTCCATCCTCAAGATAAAAACTTTGCCTGTAGTTTAAAATAAATCATATTTTCTAAGGTTTACAATAAGGGGGATATTTTTAAAAGATTATTTAAAAACCCATAATTTCCATAAATAAAATGTTGTCCCTTGTCTCAAAAAATATATATTTCGGTGATTGATTTGGTCTTTTAGAGTTATACTAAAATTTTTTTCCTCATTTTAGATTATACAGCTAATAAAACTGTCTTGTTTTAATTACAGTTTTCTTCTTGACACCATATACAGGATTTGCCACTGATTTATAAGTCTTTGGTGCTCTCATGATTCCTAGTGCTGTTGATTGCCTCTTTTGCAGTCCAGAGTTGGGGTGATGTTAAAAAAAAAAAAAAGCTTTAGTATTTTACAAATAGATATAAAATTTTAAAATACAATCTAAAGGCAATGCGGTTTAAACAGTCACTTGATTTTGACATCTCATTTAAATAATGGCAGGCCTAATGTTGACCTCCAAAGAGTACAAGCTATGATAACTTTTGCATATTTGGGTCACCTATTCCAACAGACAATTTACTCAAACTGTTTAGATCAATCTAAAATGATTTTCAGACTATTTGGTAATATTAATTGGCTCCATCCAGATTTTAGACTAATTTCTCTGGTGTTATTAATTGTCATTATTCTTCAGACAGGTTATTTCAAATTGCTTCCGTTTTCA